CAAAAAATAAAAAAAAAAAAAAAAAAAAAAAGAACTGCATGTGAATATACATACAGTTATTTCAAAATAAAAAGATTAATTAAAAAACTAATAACAGAGATGAAGTGCCTGGTACAATAGCATTCAATTTACTTTCTCTTTTCTGGACCTCAATTTCCTTATCTATAATAATGATAGCTGGTATTTCCTAAGTAGTGACAATATGCCAGGTACTCTGTTTTGTCAAATTTAATTCATATAACAACCCTCTCATTTTGCCAATACAGAAAGCAGAGGGTTTTTTCCTTAGGTTGTACAGTTAGTAAGTAGCTATATCATTAGGGTAGGCTAGATTATGTTATGTAACACACAACCCCCAGATTTTAGTGGCTTAAAGCAACAAAAACTTATTTTGTGCTTGTGCTCCATGTCCATCACCAGGAGTGTTCTGTGCTACTCTACCTTCCATCAGAAATCCACACTGCGGGAGACTCCATCTTTGTGCTTCCTTTCTTACTGAGGCAGGAAAAAAGGGAACATGGTGAATTGTGCACTAGGCTTTTAAAGTTTCTGCCCCAAAGTGAATCACATCACTTTCACTTGCATTTCACTGGTTAAAACAAGTCATATGGCCATTTATGTAAATCAGGAGGGCCAGAAATTACTGTCCTACATTGTGCTCAGCAGGAGAAACAAATATTTAGTGAACAGAATTAATAGTCACAACTCAATCCAAAATCCATGCTCTTTCCTTTATGCCATTGGTTTCACAGGATTGTGCAAAGATTAAAAATGTGGAAACATTTGGAAGGATTTAGCCTGGGATCTGGCTTATAGTTTGTGTTTGAATATTGAAAATGCATCCTAAATATTGGTTAAAGTAGAAGCAGGTCAAGTTCGTCTTCAGAATTCTTTTCTGGCCATTTTTTGGCACAAGCCTCTCTTGGCCTCCCCTGATACTCCATGCCAAGAAGCTGTTTCACAGTTGGTAAGGCCCCATGGCTGTGCCCTTTGCTCCATCATCCATCCACAGCAAAGTTCCCATGCTCTGTTGATTTCCTCAGGAGCTTGCTCAGCCAGTAGCATCAGTGGCTGATTTCAGATGGGCTGACCCTTAGAGAGTGTTTATTCAGCCTCTGAAGAGGAAACAGAGGCCCAGACATCCCTGAGAACATGTGGCTAGTCAGTAGCAGAGCCAGGATCAGAACCCTCACTTTCCACTTTGAGCTTAGTGCCCTTCCAGCTGCCTCTCACACTGGGCCAGTAACTGGTGCCTTGTACCACGTTATTGCACTCTGCTGACAGGGAATTTACATAATTTTCTCACTTTCTCTCTTACAGTATTGAAGACGAACAAGAGGAGACATTAAAGGAGTCACCGAAGGAAATGAAAGAGAAAGACATGTATGGCCACCAAAAGTTGCCTAAGGATTCTGTGCAAAGTCTTGGTTTTAGGGGAAGAGTATTTCCTTGTTTGTAGGAGTCTGTGTTCTTCCCATTTTTATGTATACATTTAATGTGAGCCTGTTTCTTCTTTCACCAAAAAACTGTTGTGATGAGTGATCTAAATTAATAGCATCTTAATCAAGGAAACACAGTGATAAGAAGAATAGAAGTTTATACTTGAGGTAGATTAAATCTGTTTGCCACATAAATAGACTTTCACCTATGGAATTTATTTTTAGCTGCTGAGATATGTTTAAAGTTAGTATCTCTTTTTAAGATATTCTCTAATATTCTCTTTAAGATATCTTATAGATATCTTATGGATATTCTAAGATATTCTCTGATTTTGGCCACTTGCCAAATAAAGATTTTTGTGAAGAGCATCTTTAAAAAGTACCTCTTCGGAATATAGTGTTTGATTTTTGTAAACATCTCCCAATTACTCTGTGCTTTTAATTCTTTAGATCATTGACAGACATTCAAGACCTGTCTAGTATCTCCTATGAACAAGACGGTTCTTTTAAGGAAGTCTCATGCAAAACACCCAAAATAAACCACGCACCTACTAGTGTCAGCACTCCGCTCAGCCCAGGTAATAACTAGCAGGGGGATGTTCTGGGAAAGGGACTAACAGCCCCTGCCTCTCTGGCTATGGGAAGCCAGGCTGCAGGAGCAGACCCACAGTGTTTTCTCACAGTACAGAGGGGTTTCTTTAGGGCCAGAGCTGAAGGGGATAATCCCGTGGGAGGCCAGGTAGCTGTGGTGGTGGTGATTAACCAGCTATAAGGAGATTTTTAAACTCTAGCAATAGAGACATGCAAATGCAGAGTCTACTTTGTACTTGAAGCACTGTTGAATTTAGTGCAAATACATTGGATTCTCTAGAGTTTGTAACTTAAAACAGTACCTTGTGCTTAAACATACATAGTTCTGGGTCCTGCAACTGCATACAGCCAGCATCAAATATCCTCTCTCTAGTGTCCTTTTTTCCAGTATATTTGTGGTTCAAATAATCTCCCTTTAGTCTCTCCCAAGTTTAGAGAGTATCATCAGTGATCAGTGATTATTTCAGTTATTGACAATTTGGAAAATCCCTGTTCCAGGTATAGAGTTTTGTTGGGGATTCTTTTTGTTGTTTTTAAATAATGTAAAGGATTCAGACACTAACTGCCCTCTTTTCTACAACAGGGTCAATTTCTTCAGCTGCTAGTCAGTATAAGGACTGTCTTGAAAGTATCACGTTTCAGGTTAAAACAGGGTCTACCTCATTCTGGAACAGTCAAGAATCTATTCAAACTTTGTCTGATAAATTTACAACTGTCCGAGAGAAAGCAAAGAGCCTAGATTCCCTTCTTACTTCCTCTGAAACTCTTCCTTCAAGACTGACTAATCTCGTAAGTATACTGACTCTGCGTTGCACACTCTTGGAGTGAGTCCAAAGGCGTCAGTGATCCAAAAGGCCAAGATTTCTCCGTATCTGTTTTACAAAGAAAGCAAGAAATAAGCTGGATCCTCTCCAGGCTTCCCTGGGGCTCCTCTCTGAGCCTGTATTGTAGACTGGGTCCTGGGTTTTTGTGCCCTTTTTTTCCCCCAGAGGTAATGTTTGTCGATTTCTCGAAAGATCCGTCTGCTGTGATGGCTTATGATGCATTGTTCATCTGCATTGTTCTTTCTGCCTAACCATATCTTACGTACTAAGAGGAGGCTCGAGTTCTGCTTCCTTCTTGATGCCTCCTCTGGTTAGTTCTCTGAGAGTTTCGATTGATCTCTACCTTTTCTGAACTCCTAAACCAATAATCTGCAGTAAAAACACTTAGTGGTACCTTCTCCTTGCTTCCTTCCCCTCCCCGTGCTGTTTGTTTGTTGGTTTCCTTTCTCTGTCTCCCTCATTACTTCATATGTGTAGTCTCTTCAAGAAAACTGAAAGTTCCTTACTTGGTTCTGCTCATTAAAAACCTGTTGACTGACCTTTCTGTAGGCAGATTGATTACTTGTTTGGCCCTCAGTGAAAAATCGACTGTCATCTTCTCTGGGCATTTGACTCACAAAAGGTCTCACTCTGAAGTAGGGAAATAAAGAATTTTATGCTCTTGTTCAACAAACTGTTAATGGGGCAGGTTCTAAGTGCCAGGCACTATGCCAGGCCCTTTTCTAGGCATCCAGAAGTGAATAGGAAAGTCCACGCCCTGAAGGAGCTCACTGCCTATTGAGAAAGACTGGCAGGATGTAACACAGAGGTAAAAACTGAGCGCTGTGGAGGCAAAGGCGGGTAGGAAGGCTTCCGAGAGGAGATAACGTTTGAATGTTTGACTCAGTCAACAGAACAAGTAGCTTCTTCCATCAGTGATACACAAGATTAATCTTGGAAACGACTGAGCTTAACGGGCCTTTTTAGCTTAATACACGTGTCGGTTACCATGTTTATGTCTTACTTGTAGAAAAGATCGCCTATATTTACTGGGACTGGTTCCTCCATTATTGCCAAGGCACCTGACACATCATCTCGTGCCACTCAGAGGAGGAGCCTGCCAAAAGGTACCCTGTGTTTAATATTAAAATACAAGTTCATAATAGTAAACCAGTTTAAGGGAGACTTCATCTCTTCTTTGATGGCTATAGCAGATTCAAACAAAAATGCTAATTTCCCCTGACTGTAAAAGTAAAACAGGGCTTCCCTGGTGGTGCAGTGGTTGAGAGTCCACCTGCCGA